AACATTAACTTTAAAGCACTTCTAATGCACTGAAGTATAGCTGAGTCGTGCTGGTCTGCCATGCACAAGGCCTTGGACCAGTCCTCAGTGCTACAATAAACAAACACACAAACAGCCAATAAGAAGCCCACAATAGGCTACCACATTTGGTAAGGATGACAGCAAGGCACACTTGACCTGTGACAATAGGTTAGCCTGACTGAAAGAAAGGAAAACTATGCCTAGCACTACAAAAATTGTCACTGCGAAAGTTTTAAGGTCACTGTAGAGATTTTTGTTATGACACCAAATTTGGTAGGCTTGCTTTCCTGAAGGCTGGGTCCCTGTAGGCCTAGAAACCCTAGCAAAGAGCTTCTCAGGTTCTGCCACACTGAAGGCACTGTCTGTCCTGCACTCTGAATGGGTCTTCGCCTGGCCACAGGTGAGTAGCACCTAACACTGGACATTTGGAACACAGCAGATCACTAAGTTTTGTAAAGCTTTCAAAACCCATGTTTTATTCTACAGCATTTAAAACCCTATGCCAACAATTACGGCAATCTTATCACAAGTTTGTGGGAGGCTGTGGCACAGTGGCAGATTCGGGTTTTCCTATATTCTAATACTCAGCTGAAAGCTCCAGCTTTGTACCACCAGCAACAAAAACCTAGGCCGTTTTCCTTGAAACAGTGAGGCGGCCAAGTATCCAAATGCCAGTCATTCCTTTAGGCAAAAGCGGCATGGCCTGAAGAGAGTGGCTGAAGCAGCTGGAAATACCCCTCGTCACCCTTCAGTTTCTTGAGGCGATAGTCCAGTTTCTGTTTCAATACCTATTCATCAGAAAGACGCTCAAAGTGAAGCCTGAACACAAGTAACCATTTTACTGTTCACTCTAGAGCAGTCTTCAGGGTAAGCAGTCAGGGCTGGGGGGCTGTGTGTCACACCCACATACACTTCTGGCCACAAAACAGGCCGATGAAGAACACAACCAGTATGGACTGAGGCTCACATGTCGATCTGCTGCTCTTTACCTGAGGTACAGATGGTTGTGAGCTGCCTGGTGGGATGCTGGAAATCAAACCTGGGTCCTCTGGAAGAGCAGCCAGTGCTGAGCCATCATTTCAGCCCCAAGTTTTCCCATGCAAACTGGGTAGCATCCATCCCCTTGAGCAACCTGTGTTGTCTGCAGGTTTAGAATCCCCCCTACCCCCCCACAAAACACATGGCGGGGGGGGGGGGGGGGGCAGAATGGGGCAGTTGAATATTTGCTTTGAGACACAATCCTCCAGAAGGTACCTGTCAGTTTTAAGGAGATTTCTACAGCTGAACTGAACACAAATGGGGACCTGAGCATAAATATAGATGTGTCACTTATAATTGTCACTTAACTGTTTCTCCTTGCTATTTCTAAATGGAAACACATAGCAACTTGCATTCAAGGACCTGGTAAAATGAAATTGCTATAAAATCAATATTTCAGAGTAAAGAACAAGGATTGTGCCACTGGTTCCTGACCTGCAGGAACTAAGCACATGCACGCACGCATGGCACGCACGCACTAAATAGAAGCTTGTGTCTATGACTTTATCTGTACATGTGTGTACAGATGCATATACATGTGATCCTAAACAGAAGTCAGAAGAGGGTATTCCTCTGTCTAGTTCTTTTTGAGGCAGGCTCTCTCCCTACACCAAGGCTTACATTTTCTAAGTTAGGCTGGTAGCCAGCATGGCCCAGATGCCCTGTCTCTGCCTTGCTCAGAGCTGGCGCCTTGTTACGTGGATGCTGGAATACAAACACAATTGTCCTTGTGACTGTGTGGTGAGCAAGCTTAACTGCTGTGCCATCTCTCTAGCCCTGAGAACGCTTTTAATTTTCCCCATTGTTTTCAAGACAGGGTTTCTCTGTATAGTCCTGGCTGCCCTGGAATTCACTCTGTAGACCAGGCTGGCCTTGAACATACAGAGATCTGCCTGCCTCTGCCTTCTGAGTGAAGGGTGTGTGCCACCATGTCCGGTGGCATGGACAGTATTTCTAAGTACTATCTTTTAAACACAGTTTTCATTTTCCTTCCTTCCATCCTCTCTCTTCTTCTTCAGGCAGGGTTTCTCTATGTAACAGTCCTGGTTGTCCTGGAACTTGCTTTGTAAACCAGGCTGGCCTTGAACTCACTGAAACCTGCCTGCCTCTGCCTCCCAAGTGCTGGGATTAAAGGTGTGGGTCACCACCACCACCACCACCACCACCACCACCACCACCACCACCACCAGACAGGATTTCATTTTTTAAGGAATAGTTGTAATATTTCTTCCTCCCTCCCCTTCCCTTTCCTGCCCCTCCAGGGTTTCACTGAATAACCACGGCTGGCTTTGAACTCACAGCAGAACTACTAGGCCTCCTGAGTGCTGCCATTACAGGAGTGGGTTACAGCCTGGAAGCTTTAATAACAATGCTAGACAAACGGCTGTGAGTTCACAGTTTTCTGTACCTTTCCAATTATACCACAGAGATCCTTTGGGCGGAGTTAAACATCTTTAACTGCTAAGCTCCCCTGGCTCCTCCTCTCCACACAGGTGAAACACTGAGTCATTCTTCAAGAGAGAATCTAGACAACAAAAGAAGCCGACTGGTGGCACTTGGGACATGGAGGTGGCCTGAGGACCAGGTCAAGGTGATCCTCAGTCACATTACGACGCAAAGTCAGCCTGGGTTATTTCAGTCCTGCCTCAAAGAATAAAGCAAAACCAAAAAATGAAAAGAAAACCACGTCCATATCAACACTACAAATTCAACTACACAGAAAGCATTAGTTGAAAGTCAGAATACCCTCCCCATGAGTACATGAGTATTATCTGAAGCAGCATCCTTCCTTCCCTTCCAAATAAATACTTGCACCACCCTATTGTTTGAGAGGGTTTACAGAAAACAGTACACATTACAAATCGGTGCAAAACTCTTAGAAAGTCAGGAACATTATGCCCCATAAAACCTTTAATGGCCTTTGGTCTGTCCCTAGGAATTTACTCAGCATAAACAAAGAATGCTCAGAAAAGGACATTTAAGCTGGAAGTGATGACCCACACCGGAGGATCAGGAGTCCACAATAACCAGCAGCTTAATGTAAGCCTGGGATACCTGAGACCCTTTCTCCAACACCACCTCAAAAGGAATAAATAAATAAAATGTCATTATTCAGTGCCAATTACAACAATAAAATCTGGAATATTATTTTTCCACATAGAATTAGGAAAGAAATGTAAGGACTCCAGGTATACCTAAACCTAAAATACTACATTGTCAAATATAATTATTTGCCATCACTGCCACATATGAAAAATAGTTGTGCTAGTAAATTCTAAGCTGAAGTGGCAGATTGGAAAGTCAGAGCCGACAACCTTGACCTGCAAGGCATTCTTTAACCTTTGTTCTTGAAAATGTGGCACAATCCTCACACAATAGCAAAGCCCAACTCATGTTTACATCAGGGTCTTTAGTCTTTTATCATACATGGTTACATTATTCAGTGTTTTCATGAACAAAGCTGTGGTCATTGTATGTGGTTGGCCTTACCTTGCTGTCATTAAAAAGATCTTAATTCTATAGCGCATCTTAATTCAAAGATGTATGAGACTGTTAGCTCAGCTGTATATGAACTCCTTAAAATATGGGCAAAGGTAACTCACTCTGCAACACTGTAGGCAACTCTAGCCTATAAGCCTAGCACTAGAAGGGCTGAAGCTGGGAAACTGCCGTGAGTTTGAGGCCAGCCTTCCTTACAGGGTAAGTTCTAATCAAGCTTGGGCTATCCAGTGAGACCCAGAGGAAGAAGAGAGAAGGGGAGAAAAAAAGGAGAAAAGAAGAAGAGGAGGAGGAAGAGAAGAAATCATGCCATTTTTAGAACTACAAATTCTTTAAACAGTTCAGAGTGCATACTATTCTTCCAGAGGCCCTACACTTGGTCCCCAGCACCTATACCCAGCAGTCAGCAGCCACATCCAGTGGCTCACAATCACCTGTAACTCCAGCTTCAGGGGATCTGATACCCCCCTCTTCCAGCCTCTGTGGACACCTGCATTCGTATGCACATACCTACACATATAATCAAGGACATAATACATACAATGTTATTACTGTGGAAAACATATTGTGCCTAAAATTGTCTATAATCAAAAAGCGTATGTTGGGACTGGAGAGATGGGGCAATTTGCTTCTTCCTCTCCTGCTCTGCCTTGTCACTCTTGACAAGATCTTGCCATGTAGCCTATGCTGACCTTGAATTCAAGATACTGCTGTTGACACCTCTAGAGTTCTATAAAATTTTGTCAGTAGCTTTTAAATAGAAAAACCACAGCAAAAACTCTTCTTCTGATCTCAAAAATAAATAAATAAAATAAATAAATACAAAATGTTTATAATCTGCAGTTTACTCATGAAGGACATGGACACATGGCAGTGGTTCTGTACTGGGGGCCTGGGGCTTGTGATGGTCCCGCTGTTGGTGTCCAGTGCTGGGTGCCTGGCATTTGGCATCCTCCTCCAAGAGTGTGTGTGAACCAAGGATGGCATTAGTGCTGGGAGAAGGCTGCCCCTAACTACTTTTTCTTAACAAGCTCAGAGGTGCTCACATCTTCTAGTTTTCTAATGCTGGTGTGAAGGAAAAGAAGGGAATCAGAGTTCTTTCTTTAACCCTGTATGAGTGATTTGGACAAGTTCCCAAAATTCCCCAGGTCCCAATTTCCTCAATAGTGGAAAGAATTCAGTGGCTCAATAATCACTCCTTTACTGCACAAAGAACTCTGACTCAAAGATAGATTCTCATGCTGGGCTGTGGTGGCTCACACCTTTAATCCCAGAACCCGGGAGGCATAGGC